CTGCCGTTGAAGGCACAGGTGAGGAGTTGAATCGCGGGGTTTGAAGCTGGTGGAAGGTTTGTATGCCTTTCAGTCGGTGTCGAGAGGCTGGCCTCTCACTTGAGGTGGGGAGGGCTGGAGAGCCGGTCTCAACTGGGGGACCCCCGCCTGAATCTTAACTTCCCGGCCCTGGGGCCCGGACTCCTGTGATGTTTCAGTCGAGGGGCAAGAGGACAGCGTCGCTGCTGGTAATGTGGATCGCACGTTATCATAGCTGGTCTTATGACCACTGGTGACGAGGCAGAGGCTGAAACCGGTTTTGTTGTTGTTGTTGTTAAATATACGCTAACAGCTATCATTTCCTGAGTATTGACTAGGGGCAGATGCGGTGTGGGCCCTTAACTTCTTTCCCGTCGTGCACACACAGCAGCCCCGCGGAGGCCAGAGGACCCAGCTGGTTAGGTGAGAAGCCCGGAGCCCAAGAGCGGTAGCTGATTCCTGGGCCCATGGCTTTCCTGCTGATCCCTGCTGTTCACGAGGCCGGCTCTGCAGAAGCCGCAGGGTCCTCGTGATGAGGCGCTGCGGTGGGGGGACTCAGGAGCAGGCCCCTGTCCATGGACCACTCCCCCCACCCAGCCCTGAGATGAGTTTGGGGTGGGGAAGTCACTTAGTGTGAGTCACCCGGGATGAAAATGAAGCCTGGGGTGGTGGACGTGTATGTACCTGAGTTGACCTCGGCGGGTGGACACCTTCTGTGGGAGACCTCGGTGGATTTGTGAGCCTTTCTAGAGCCTCCCCTGCCTTGAGACTCGAGAGAACTTTTCTAGAGCCTCCCCTGCCTTGAGACTCGGAGTCCTAGCGATGGAGCATCAAAGAGAAGGTAATCCGATCCTCGTTGGCCGGCAATGAATCTTCCCATCAGCAAACTTTATCTGGTCGGTACCTGGGGTGCAGTGATGGCCTCGAGCTGAAGGCAGCCCTCCTTTCTGTGTCCCCTGCTATCCTCTGTGCCCTGTCTGTGCATCCAGCAAATGGCGGCGGAAGAGATCTGGGGAAATGGGAGGCAGGAGAGAGGCCTGATCCCGGGACCTGGGCCACGGGGAAGGAGGGAAGGAGCTGGTGGCCCAGAGGCTGTGCCCTGTTCAGCTGCGGTGGCTGGGGAGCACGAACCTAACCGGGGCTGGTCTCTGAGACATGGGACCTGAGCCGGTGTTGGGGAACAATTTGCTGTGAGAGCCTAATATTTGTGTTTTCACCCTGGATGGCCAAGACAAAATCCCCGCTCGCTGAGCCCCTGGGAGTCTGGCCGATTGAGGCACAGCAGTGATGCTAGGTTCAGATCCGTGCAGTATCACCCGCCAGCACCAGCCACACCAGGGCTCTGTCCTCAGTTACACATGGAAGGCATTGTTGGGGTGTGTTTGGCGAGAGGCTGGCTTTGTAAGGGGTCTGCGGGTGAGCATCTGTCCTGAGAGAAGAAAGTCTGGCCAGGTGATACTCCTTAGATCTCAGCTTACTTTAGTCGAGGACATTATCGTGGAAAAACGGAGCTTCTAGGCTACTCTGGATTCAGATGACTGTTTTTGCGTGTCTGGTTTTTTTGGGACGATGCAGCTTTTTTTGTAATGAAGTTTTACAAATTTAAAAAGAAAACCTACAAGGTGCAGCCGGCTTGGAAATAATGCAGCGTGTTTGAGTGAAGTTGCTGGCAGTTTGGTTTGTTTTGGAGTGACTCCTTTTTTGCACGGACCGTTGGGGCCATTCGTTCATTCCTCAAGAGTGTCTCCACGGTGCCTGATCACCCCTGGGGTGCCAAGAGGAACGGGTCCCCAGCCCTGCTGGTCGATGAACTGCAGGACACCCCGTATCCCCAGGTGTCAGGGTTATAAGGCCTGGGTCCTGGAAAGGTGGTCCTTGGCTGTCCTGCTCCCTTGACTGATTTCATCCCCTGTGGACCATGCAGGGTTGTAGCACAGCATTCTAATGACCAGAACAGTGGGGAAACCCCGGCCTTCAGGGGACCTACCTTCTAGCAGGGAGATGGAGAGCAAAGGTACGGAATACATCCATGACGTATTGCCCGTGCCCAGGGCCGTGGAGCAGACAGAACAGGACCTCAGCGCACAGCCCCACTGAGTCATCAGAAGGGCTGACCAGAGTGAGGCGGGAGGGGTGGTAAAGACAGTGGGAGGGGTGTGTGGAAGGCACAGTTCTGGTGAGAGGTGGGGAGGGAAAGGAGAGAAGATACTGGCCCGAGGGTGTGGGGTAAGGGAGAGGGCAGACCGAACCTGGGCCCTGGAATTTTGGGGCAGGGCCCGTGGGGTCGTTCGTGGTGGCCTTGGTTGAGAAGGGGCCACCTATGGGCGAGGTGTCAGCAGAGGAACCTGAGTGGGGGAGGGGCAGGGAGCGGCGCAGGGAGGGCCTTCTGGGTCCATTGGACCCCGGGCGTCCGGCAGGCTGGTGTCACCTGGGGCTGGCCCTTCGAGAGGCAGCCCTTGCACCCTGCCGCCTGGCTGAGCCCACGGGTTTATCAAAGGCAGGTGCGGTCACTACTATCCTGTTCTTGAGCGTTGGGCGTGACTCAGACATGCAGGGAGTCAGTCTGGAGTTCCTTTATTCATCCTTATTTGCTTTTTGTCGGTAATCCTTTGTAATTCCCCAGTTTCATGATGTAATTTTAATGGAATTAAACTTGAACACTTCGAAATTATGTAATTAATTACGTTCGGCTTCAATTACAATGACTAATTATAGCGTGATACCTGGTGGCAAGTCAGGCAGGTACTGGTGGGGGTTCATGCCTGCTGGCTATCGGGAGGGCCACTTTCCGTTCAGCATGGGAGCCACGGCGCCCCAGGGACAGGTCGCCTGCCCCTGGGTTGCCCAGGGCGCCTTCCAATCCCACCCCTCCGCTGAGGTGCGAGGTGCGGGGTGTGAGACGCGTGGGAAGTGCAGGTGTGGGAGGGTTGTTTGGGGATGCAAAGGCTCGAACTTGTTTCCAGGTTGAAGGGAAGGACTCTTCTTTGTAAGTAAGTTTGGGGTGCCAGGGGAAGCGGAGGGCCCTGTTGTGACATTCTTCTGGGATGCGGGAGGGAGGCCGCTCCCAGGTTAAAGCGGAGTGTCAAAGAGCTGAAGAGATGGTTTCCAGCGAAAAGAAAAGGTGTGAGAACCACTCTGGGGTGAACAAGGAAGGTGGAAGCAGGTTTAAAAAGGTTACTGCGTGGTGGTGTTATTTCCAGGTGGCCCACATGCAGGGCTTCTGGGACCAGGAAACCGAGCCTCAGACCCCAGGACAGAGTGTGTGTTTGCGGACTTTCCAGAAAGTCTGCC